TGATATACGAATTAAATTCCACAATTTAATTCTTCCTATTAATAAAGGTTAATTGAAACTTTTTAGGACATCCACAAACCATGGTTGTCGCCTAGCAGCAAGTCACGGTTATCCGAGCTAAATGAGACGTTGTGAGAGAACCTATTCAAATTGGATGACTGTGCAATTGAATCCTTCTCTTATTTCAATACTCCTTATTCACATTATTAGATCATGGAATCCGATTGTCAATATCCTAATGTGAATCATTCCTTTTATATGATTATCCTTTGTAAAATTTGAAGACTTCTTCTTTCAAGTCTTATCCACTACTCTGCTAAGAGATTTGACCAATCATATCTTGGAGTATTCTCTCTCCTTTACTGAGAGTAGAGATTCTTTATTGTACATTCATTTGCTTCAATGACTCTATTGAGAATCCTGATATGCACCTTTAAGCTATGCCTAATTCAGCATGATCACATAATGCCCTCAAAGATTAACAACATAGCCATAAAACATCTATGATGCCTCAAGTCTAAGGATTAGTTTGCACCATTGCAATTTATGAGTTCCAGCTTGACATGTGAGTAAAGATTTCCATGCTGTAACTTATGTGTTGGATCGCGTTCAGTGTACTTAGTCTTCTATAAGCACCTACACACATATCGATGTGTCTCCACACTTAATGACTTGAGACCTTGTCATTTCCTACATATAGAGACGATACTGTGTGTACTGGTCTTTGCGGAATATTGACGCCCGATCAATATTCCTATGACTAGGAACATATTCAGGATTTAGGGATGATGAGAAGTCTCCATGTATGCTATCTCATTACATAACTCTCATATCCACTTGTGTATTCCTTGGACTATGGTTGTTCTACATATTGAAAGATAATATAGGATGATTTAATGTATAAAACAACATTTCTTGCCCATTGATAACATAATATATCTTTTATCAAAGATGTCCTTAATTCTAACTACTACATAATTAGTTGGCTTTAAGGGCATATTTCTAACACAATATTCTTTTTGGAGTTGAATTGCTTGCAAAGGGAATGACCTGGAAGGTTGGAAAGGGTGATTTGGCCAAATTTTGGACAGATAAATGGCTATTTGATACACCTTTAATGCAACATAATGGGTTGTTGAATATACAGGAATTGAATTGCAGCGTTGATAGCTTTTTTAGGAATGGTTGGTGGAATGTGGACTAGTTGAGGAATGCTCTTACTGAAGATTTGGTTCAAAAGATCACTTCTGTCCATGTTGGGTTTGGGAACTCTGTACATGATGCTCAAATATGGGGTTTGTCTTCAAATGGTGGCTTATTATCTGTTAAATCTGCATACTCTATTGTTTTTTAGAGACTTGGGAGATGTTGATCCTTTTTGGAAGGACTTATGGAGAATGAAAATCCCTCCTAAAATACATATCTTCATTTGGCTGGCTTATCAAGGTAAAATCTTGTCCAATGAGCAAAGAAACAAGAGGAATCTATCTTCTGATCTTTCTTGTCTTCTTTGTGGTTGGCAAACTGAATCTGTTATTCATATTCTTAGGGAATGTCCCAAGGCTATGACGGTATGGAATTCTATTTTAAAATTACACTCTTCTCCTCATTTCTTCATCTCTGAGCTAAAACCTTGGTTCTTGGGAAATATGCTCTCTAAGGTTAAAGGCCCTGATGGTATTGGATGGAATGTTATTTTTGCCATTACATGTTGGTATATCTGGAATTGGTGTAACAAGCAGATTTTTAATGTTGAAGTGGATATGCCTTTTAATCCCAGGAAAACCATTTTTACTGCAATTGTTGAGTGGGTTAAAGCCGCTAATGGCTTTGGCGAGAAACCTGACAGAATACATATTTTTTTGGCTTGGGAACATCCTACAATTGACCAACTTAAGCTGAACGTGGATGGTTCTAGAAGGGCTGCCACTAATATTATTGGAGTAGGAGGTGTTATTCGGGACTCCTTAGGTGATTGGATTGCCGGTTTTGCTGTGAATTTGGGCCAAGGTAATATCCTGGAGGCTGAGGTTTGGGGTCTATATTTTGGTCTAAAACTTGCTGTTGAGAAAGGTATCACTAACCTTGCTATTGAAATGGATGCTGCTATTGTCGTCTCACTTGTTCAACAAATCAATTCACTGCAATGCCATCCTCTTGTTGCTTTGGTGCATAGTTGTTGTGATCTCATGAGACAAATTGGAAATTGTCACCTTGTCCACATTTACAGGGAAAAGAATTGTGTTGCGGATTATTCGGCAAATTGGAGTTATAATCTGGACATGGGAATCTGCTTCTTTGATAAGGCTCCTATATGGGTTAGCTCTCTGTTAGTGGATGACTTGCTTGGTTTTGCTAGGCCTTGACTCATGCGTGGTGTTTAGTTGTTGTTTTTATGGGTGTTTCCCCCTTATTTCACTAAAAAAATAAAGGGTTAATTACAATTTGGTACCCTGAAGTTGTACCCTTAAGGCATGTTAGTCCCTATCATTTCAATTTTAACAATCACGTACCCTTAGTTTGTAAATTTTTTGCAATGTGGTTCCGGCGTTAGGGTTTCTGTTAGGTCTCTCTGTTAATTGCCTACGTGGCATTGTGGGTCCCACATTTTTTAATTTTTTTTAATTTTAAATTGATTAAAATATGAATAAAAAATCAAAAATCAAAAAATCAAAAAATTTCTCTCTCTCTCTCTCTGCGTTCTCTCTCTGCAACGAACCCAGAACCCAGAACCCAGCCTGCAATCTCTCTCTCTCTTGCTTCCATTGTTTCCTTCGATCTTGGCTGGGCTTTCTGCTGTCAGAAACCTGTTTGAACCATTTGGATCTTTCATCATCTTAGCTTTTGTCCCATTTTTCTGTTAAAGTTGGGATTTTGGGGTCAAAATTCACAAACCCATCTTGAAATCCAGCTGGTCTCTCTCTCTCTCTCTCCATGACCAAAGCCCGGAACCCCAGCCCCCATAACCCACAGAACCCATCCCCCCTACCCCCTCTATTTCTCCCTGCATTCCCCACCCCTCTCTTTCTCCCTGCATTCCCCATGACTACCACCCTTCAAACCCCACGAACCCAGAACCCACGACCTCAGCCCCCACGAACCCATAACGCATAGATCTTATGCATAAATTGATCGCGAATCCGAGCCCAATAACTGGTGTTCTTGAGAAACTGGGACAATTGCTCACGAATCTGGGTCCAAAACGTTGACGTCGCCAAAATGCTGAAGCCCTGTTGTTCGGAAAAGCTTGGAAATCCGATGGAACTCCGAATACAGATTGTCTTGGTACGAGGGTACGGTGAAGGATTCAGATTGGGGGGGAGGGGAGGGGGGAGAGAAGAATCGTGTGTTGTTTCTTGTGGTACTATGGGGAAGAAATCGGGAGGAAGGAGGGGGAAGAAATTGCGGGGCGGGGTAGAAGAAACTGGGGGAGGAAAGAAATCTGGGAGGGGGAAGAAATTGGGAGGAAAAGGGGGAAAGAAATTGTGGAATTGGGGGAGAGAGAGATTTTTTTTAAAAAGATTTTTTTTATAAATATTTTAATCAATTTAAAATTAATAAAAATTAAAAAAATATGGGACCCACAATGCCACGTAGGCAACTAACGGAGGATCTGATGAAAACCCTAACGGCGGAACCACATTGCAAAAAATTTACAAACTAAGGGTACGTGATTATTAAAATTGAAATGATAGGGACTAACATGCCTTAAGGGTACAACTTCAGGGTACCAAATTGTAATTAACCCAAAAAGAAATTTAGACAAATAGAGAGCATTATTGTAGATGCTCTTAAATGCAGGCAAAGCCGCTACCTCCATTGTTGGCAATGTAAAGAGAGAGGAGAGGGAGAGATGAGAGTGAGAGAGCTGGTGAGAAGAGGAAGATGATGCCAACGACGATGGAGGAGCGGATGGGGACGCGGAGGAAGGACGACGGAGAATGGCGGTGTCAATGTTGACGCCGACGCCGGTGGCTGCAATGGGGAAGAGAATGGCTTGATTGTTGGTCTAACTAAATTTTCTTTAAAGTGTTAAGTGACATGTGTTGAAAGATAATTGGGTTGGGATACTTAGGTGTAATGCTTACCTTGGCATAGCCGTGCCATTCAAGTTTTTCTGCCCTCCATGTCACCTGTCTAATTTCTTACTACGTGTCCAATCACTTAACTCCAAATAACACTGTTAACTTGAATTGTTAAAAAAAGAAACTAAAAAAATATTATAAACACCCCAGCAGCCACTGAGTTCACAACCCATCCCCAACAGCCACCGAAGCCCATGGAGAGACATGGAAAATGGGGACAGACTTCTCCAAACCATTTATCCAAATTCAATTCTTTAATTCTCATATTCCTAAGTTCTGATTCATCCTCCTTTTCCTAATAAGTAAACATATTATCATAAAAGAAAAGAAATATGTGGAAAGTATGAAAATGCAGTCTGTCAATTTTAGGAAGTAATTTTAACGATTTTGGTGATCCATATATTATCTTGGAGAATCCAGAGATTCTAGGAATATCAATAAAAGCAAAAGAATTTTACCTGAATTAGCGGGAACAGATACCAGAGGTAACAGTAGAAATATGCACTAGTTGAAGGACACCTTGTGCAATTCCACTTGAATTCTAAGTAGAAAAAGAGACGTTGGTTCTGAGGACTGCCGGCATCTCTCTCTCTCTCTCCCTAGAGTTATTTTGTCCATTCCACAGACGGCAAATTCCAACTATAGAAGTGCATTTAAATTCTAACTCCATTGCACTTCTTTTATCTGTCTCTTTCAGTTTCTGCCAATTTCCTTCATCCCAATCCTAAAAAAATTCAAAACCCATTTCCAATTCTCATCTCGAAAGTCCATTTTATATTTCAAATTTCAATCTCTCTGTTTAATCTTCATTACCCATTTCTTTAAATTTCAAATTCTACCACCCAATGTAGACTCTTTTTGTTTATATACATTTGTCATGTTTTAGCCTAATCCTTGGTATATATTGGCATCCAAGTAGGCAATGGTGGTGAAGATGATGAGGTGGCCACCATGGCCACCAATTTCCACCAAGAAATTTGAGGTAGTTATTGTTGTAGGCAGGCTTGAGGGATTGGATAAAACTCAATTTGAGGGTGAGAGAAGAGCTGTGGTTGAGGTTAAATGGAAGGGCCAGAAGGGTAAGGCTTTGGGGTCTTTGAGACGATCTGTGAAGAGGAATTTCACCAAAGAAGGTGGAATTAGCGATGATGGGGTGGTGGAATTGCAAGAGGAGTTTCGGAGTTTGTGCAGTTTTTCTGGTTATAAAGAGGGTATGTTTTACCCTTGGGAGCTTTCATTTACAGTCTTCGATGTGAGTCTCTCTGCCTTTCAATTCATCTTCTTGTTTTTTTTCTTCTTTTGTTCTGTTTTTTCGGTAGCAGCAGGAAAATCTTTTGTAGCTCGGTTGTCTCTTTTTTTCTTTATTCTTTTTGAGATTGATCATATTGTGGTGTTGTAATTGTTTGTTTATACGATTCTTATGTTTAAGGTTTGTCATTAACTTTTGCCTCAGCCATCATGTGATTTCTTGATGATGTCAATGATTTTGTTTTAATGAATTAGGCTGAAAACAAAGGATTGAGAAACAGAGTTGGTGTTTATGGATCTGCATCATTGAACCTAGCGCAGTATGCTTCGGTGTCTGAGGAAAAGGAACTTGCGCTCAACATTCCTCTTAATGTTCTTGTTGTCTCCTCAGAGTCTAAGCCATCACTTTCTGTATGTACTGCCTATGTTTAAATTAAACTTCTGCGCTCAACATTCCTCTTAATGTTCTTGTTGTCTCCTCAGAGTCTAAGCCATCACTTTCTGTATGTACTGCCTATGTTTAAGTGAAACTCCCTAAATTAAACTTATATGTTCATCACCTTTTGTCACGTCACTTTGCCAGGTTAGGTTCCTTTTGCCTTTTCTAAATTTGAATAATATGTCTTATGTTAAGTTCCTTGATAACCGCAGATATCTCTGAGCATATTGGAAATGAGAGCCAATCAAGAACTTTCTGAGACAGTGCTGGGATCAATGCTTTCTGACGAAGCTATTTCCACAGAAAAGGATGAGTTGTCCCCTTTAAAAGCAGGACTGAGAAAGGTAAAAATCCTTAGAGATTATGTTTCATTTGGTAAATCAAAGAAGGCATGCGTTGAGGAAGATAGCAGTGATAGCAGGAGTTCTGCTAGAAGTGAGGATGCTGCGTCCAACTATCCATTTGACACAGATTCACTTGATGATGATGCGCGGGAGGAATCAGAGTGGAGTAAGGAGGACTCCAGTGTCAGGCGGTCAATCAGTTATGAAACGCTAGCCTATGCAAACTTTGCTGGTGGCTTGTTTTACTCCAATACTAATGGTAATGGCCAAGATGACTTTTGGATCCACTATAGCAATCGTAAATTAGATATAGGTGGCTTGCATGTTGACAATTCTAGTGCACCAGTCTGTCGGCTAAACTCGTGGCAGAGTTTCAAGGGAAGAATCCTACCATGGAAGAAGAGGAAATTGAGCTTCAGATCTCCTAAAGCCAAAGGGGAGTCTCTTCTGAAGGAACATTATGGAGAAGAGGGTGGAGATGATATTGATTTTGATCGCAGGCAGCTTAGTTCCTCTGATGAATCCAGTTTTGGGGTACGTATGCAATGTCTCACTGTTGTTTTCTGTACATGTTTTTGCTTGTCTTCATTTCTGTATTGATTTTTTAAAACTATTTTTTCTTTTTACTTTGAAAGTCACATCACACAGAAAGTTCCATATCTGAATTCGGAGATGAGAATTTTTCTGTTGGCATTTGGGAGCACAAGGAAGTGATAAGCCGTGATGGACATATGAAGCTTCAAACTCAAGTATTTTTTGCTTCAATTGATCAGCGGAGTGAACGTGCTGCTGGAGAGAGTGCATGCACGGCCCTGGTTGCAGTCATTGCAGATTGGTTGAAATCCAACAGAAATGAGATGCTTATCAAGTGTGAATTTGATAGTCTCATTAGAGATGGATCATCAGAGTGGAGAACTCTCTGTGATGACGAGGCCTACATAGAGCGTTTCCCTGATAAGCACTTTGATCTTGAGACCATCCTTCTAGCTAAAATTCGTCCTCTGTCTGTAGTTCCAGAGAAGTCTTTCATAGGATTCTTCCATCCTGAAGAACTAGAAAACAGGGATTTTGACTTCCTTCAGGGTGCCATGTCCTTCGATAGCATATGGGATGAGATCAGTCGTTCTGCATCAGAATGTGCATGCAATAGTGAACCTCTGGTCTACATTGTGAGTTGGAACGACCATTTCTTCGTTCTAAAGGTAGAGCAGGATGCTTTTTACATAATTGACACATTAGGGGAGAGGTTGTATGAAGGTTGCAACCAGGCCTATATCCTGAAATTTGACAAAGACACAACAATCCAAAGATTACCAAGTGAGGCTAAAGCATCAGATGAGAAATCTGGAAATCAGGTGCGACCGAACAACTGTAAGGAAACTAAAGCTGAAGGGGCTCTTGTATTGAGCCAGAAAGATTTAGAAAACAGTGATGTGGAAGAGGAGGTTGTATGCAAAGGCAGAGAAGCTTGCAAAGATTATATTAAGAGCTTTTTGGCTGCTATCCCTATAAGGGAATTGCTGGCGGATCTTAAGAAGGGTTTGATGGCATCAACACCTCTTCATCATCGGCTACAAATTGAATTCCATTGTACCAAGCTCTTGCAGTCCATGGATGAATGTTCCGTAAAAGAAACAGCTGCTGCTGCTCCAGCAATGGCAATGACTTTACATAGTTTCCAGCAATTGTTAATACCCTGAGGTTTTTTTTAATGAATCAAGAATGAGAGAAGCTCAATGTAAATAAAGAACTGATAACACATTATTTCTTTGTTTATTATTATTAGCAATAACTTCTCATGTACAAGAACATTAATGCTAAGTAATAAATGTTATCTAATATTGCATATACTAATGAAGGTGCATACAAAGCAAGGGGCTTGTAGCTCAAGTGGTTAAGAGATACCCCTGCATCCGAGGTCCTAGGTTCGATTCCCCCCTCCCCAAATATTGCTTGTGTCCACGCACAAAAATTTCTGAAGGTAAGTACAAGGCTTGACAGCATTCTTCCATTGACATCCTTAATTGTCTCATTTACGGAAAGGAATATGTGTGGTGGCGATCACATGCAGATTGTTCCTTCTTCTCTCTGTGATTCCAAAATTCTCAGCCATGTCAAGGGCTTCTGATTTAGTATCATTTGAAAGTTTCCAGTTGAAGCGGTACAAGAGTTGAGCAAGTCCAAGCTCAATGTTTGAAGTAGCAAATGAGATGCCTGGACAAATCCTGTAGGTCCTGCACCAAATGGGAGCAACTCGGAACTGTTTCCTTTGAAGCCTATGGAAGAACCTTCGAAACGTTCTGGCTGAAAGCATTCTGGATCAGCCCAAATTTTTGGATCTCTCCCTATTGCCTATGCAATGACGAGGATTTTGGCCTTAGCTGGTATTATATATCCACTAATTTTGCATCTTTCCTTTTCTTTTCTTGGGATGAAAGGACCCGGAGGGTGTAGTCGACATGTTTCTTTGATGACTAATTTCAAGTAATCTAGCTTTTGAATGTCTTCCTCTTCAATTTTGTTCTTTCCCTTGAATGCTTGTCACACCTCGGATTGCTCCATTACTCTTGAGTTTCTTAGTAGCTCTGACATTGCCCATTCGATTGTTGTTGCCGAAGATTCACTGCTTGCGGAGTAAATGTTCTGAAAACATGGTGAAGTTGCAATGGATTATACTGTTGTACGATAAAAAGGTTTTATTGTTTGACTGTATACAGGTCTTACCATGGCGACCGCTTTGATTTGATTGGTTGTGAGATGAAACTCAGGCTTATTAGCTTCCTCATAATTAAGCAGCGTGTCCACCAGATCTTGCTCATCACCATTGGTGTTGTTACTAGCTTTGCTCTTCATCTTATGTTCAGTGACAATATCTTCAAGAATCTTGTCAATATTTTTATGAATTTTCAGCAATGCAGGCTTTATCCCACTCATGAAACAAAGGAATGTAAGGGAAGGGTACAAATCAGCGATGTTAAAGCCTCCAACAAGAGGTATGATTTCCCCAACCAATGTGGTAAACTCATGCTGATATTTGCACTTGTTACCAAATGCTGCCCTGGAAATCACTTGTCATGGTGTAAATCTTGTCGCTGAGATTTATGCTACATCCCTCAGATGAGGCAATAAATTCAATCAAATCCCATACCTCCTCTTCCCTTATCGATCTGAATGACCAAACACGGTTGAACTTAAGAGCTCCATAACAGTTATCTCCAATATTCATTGTAGGGAGAGAACACCATGCTTGAATGATCATAGGTGATTATTTCAACAGCATACACTTCAGGTCACAGCATGATGTGACCATGACAAGTGATCTCATTTATCTTTAACACCTCTTTAGCTGCTTCCGGCAATGAAATAACGACAGCACAAGTTTACCCAGTTGTAGTTTCATGACAGGACCCTGTTTCTTGCACAAGTTGGTCACAGCATGATGTGGTAGAGCACCAATCAACTGGTGCAAGTTCCCTATAATGTGCAGCTTGTTTTGGCCCTGCAGGCAACTTGCCTTGGACTTTGGATTTCTTCCAATGTCAGAACGAATATTAAGAAGAGAAGAAGCTAAGAAGAGAGTAAAGGATGGCAATTGGAGCGCAGCTGGGATATTGATCAAGAATCCATTGACAAATTTGTCTTCAAGTTTTTATTGGAAAGAACTCCAACTCTGTTGTGGATGCTAGCTAGATGTGGTTATTGTTCTATATACAGATATAGAATTAGTAAAATACAAACGGCTTTTCAATTATTAGCCTTAAAAAATTAACTCGCTTACTCCACAATTTGGCTTCTGCAACCAATCATCAATTTGATTTCTTAATTCTAACCAAATAGGTTTGTACTTTCCTCTTTGGGGATCACATAAGTTGATACTTTGGACAAGATAAAAGAACAAAATGATTAATTTTAGAGAGATAAGTGGAGGTCTGTACTAAATGAGAAAGACTTACATGCCACGGGGATAGCACTATTTTGCTATTCCCGACCAATAACACTATGACACACGTGATAACACTTCCATGTGGTATAGCATTATTGGCCCGAGATAGCAAAACAGTGTTATCCTGTTGCAACTAAGTTTCTGTCGTACTAAACCAACAAAATGCTGCCTAAGAGAGTCGCAAGTTAAATTCAAAATAAGATTACATCATTCTTCTATTTATTACATCATTCTTTTAGATAGTGCCTCATTTGTTGAAATGAATATAAGTAGTGGCAATCAAATGCAAATTGTTCTTTCTTCTAGCCGTTATTCCAAAATTCTCAGCCATGTCGAGGGCTTCTAGTTTAGTCCCATTTGGAAGGTTCCAGTTAAAGTGGTACAATAGTTGAGCAAGTCCAAGCTCAATGTTTGAAGTAGCAAATGAGATGCCTGGACAAATCCTCCTACCTGCACCAAATGGAAGCAATTCAAAATTGTTGCCTTTAAAGTCAATGGAAGAACCTTGAAAGCGCTCTGGTTGAAAGCATTCAGGATCAGCCCAAAGTTTTGGATCTCTCCCTATTGCATAGGCATTGATGAGGATTTTGGCCTTGGCTGGTATTGTATATCCACCAATTTCACATCTTTCCCTTGCCTCTCTCGGGATTAAAGGACCCGGAGGGTGCAACCGAAAAGTTTCCTTCATGACTAATTTCAAG